AATTGAAAGCATATTCTCTCTCTCTCTCCATCTATCTTTAAATGTTGACAGGCTATGATTCGTCGTTGGAAAGAACTTATTCGTGTGGCTCACCTAAGTTGTTGAACGTTGCTACATGTCGTGCTGTTGAAAATAGAAGCACATATGTTCCTCCTATAGGTCAGGGTGTACTTACTTGGTCCGACTCTCCTGGTAACCTGCACATTACCTTGTACATGTCATGGGTGCTGACATGAACCCACATCTTCGTCGTCTGCTGATGATGTTAACAGAAATACCATATAATAAACTGGTGATTTTAAACAGTTCATGCCATCAAAGAACGTGTCTGAACTCTAGGGACAAGGACTTACATGTTTCACCAGTAAGATTCGTCAAGTATTATCGTGTTCACAAGTTAGATTCTAGGCTGTTGGTATTGTAGCGAAAGCCAAGATAAGTTTTATTTATTTTGCCTTTGGGTACAAAATGTTAATATCCATAGTGTATATTCATGGTACAGTACTGTATGGTGATGCAGTTAACACAAAGCGGTTACAGTGATATCACCAATGTTTACTGTATTACAAGTGGCAGTGACAGATCATTTAAGGTGAGATTCCTGTGTTTATCTGCATAGTTCAGGACATATAAGACCAATGGAAGGTCCTGAAGGTATGCAATTAAGAGCAACTTCCTGTAATTCCTAATTAGCGCTGTGGCCGTTGGATCCAATATAATTATGCCAACAAATTTGTTCTTTGGGATCGTGATGTAAAATACCTGGACTGGTGAATTAAATACTCACTGGAATCTGAATAATGCAATACTACTGCTGTTATGAAATTGGGTTCGTTTTGATTTGCGTTGAGGTGGTCAGGCCGAGAGGAGGCAGCCAACGGTTTGTGTAGGATTATTTAACTTTTTTCAAGTAATTTTAGCAACTGTAGAATAAATTGTTCATATAATAATAAATTAAAAGCTTTTAATATTTGTTCTCATATTTTCAGTGTTGTTTAAAGAGAGGCGAGTAGTATGACGTCAAGATTAAGTATCCGTGATGGGGTGTAAGTTGGTTGAGGAATCCATAACAGCAATTCATTCTCCAAGTTTAAGACATTAGCGTACCAAGAACTACACTGCTTTCACCATCTGTTTATGCTGAGGGATCCTTGATATAGGTAAGGACATTATTGTGCTAAGTTTGTAAATAATACTTGTCGATTTGAGGGATTCTTGATATAAATACTTCCCCCCACAAATAAACATTATCAGGGGTCCTTAATATAATCATTTATTCACACGTAAGAACAGTAATTTACACTTCTTGTATATTATGTTTGGGGAATTTCAACAAAACACGGTGAAGGATCCTAAAATAAAAAATATTTCACGTTCAGGATACCACTATACTACTACTACATAATATATTTTGAAATCTCCGCTGTAATTTGAAAATTCCTTGATATAAGCGTTTATCTACAACATTTTCTTTAATTGGGAATATTACAAACAGACTTTACCAACAACTAGCTCAAGTTAGGTACAATCTAGGGCCCTTACATATCTATATAGTATACTTGTTAATGGTGCGTAACAGAGAATAACCGACCGTTCGATGACAGAGGTGTAACGTCACTAAACTAAATACAGTACAGCATGATACTGTAATTACGGATTATTCTCTTTCTCTTTCTATCTTCTTCCTTTCTCTTGGATTAATTGATGTCTTATCTTATGAATCAAGGTTAATTAGAGGAAACAAAAGATATCTGGGTGTTTTTAGAAGACAGTAATTGGATGACCCGAGTTAGTGCGTCTATTGTGTGAACTTTCTCAGCCTTTTGATGTTGAGGTGATGGTGTTACTGAGGTGGTGATGGTGTTACTGAGGTGGTGATGGTGTTACTGAGGTGGTGATGGTGTTACTGAGGTGGTGATGGTGTTACTGAGGTGGTGATGGTGTTACTGAGGTGATGATGGTGTTACTGAGGTGGTGATGGTGCTACTGAGGTGATGATGGTGCTACTGGGGATGATGGTGTTACTGAGGTGGTGATGGTGTTACTGAGGTGGTGATGGGTTACTGAGGTGGTGATGGTGTTACTGAGGTGGTGATGGTGTTACTGAGGTGGTGATGGTGTTACTGAGGTGGTGATGGTGTTACTGAGGTGGTGATGGTGTTACTGAGGTGGTGATGGTGATACTGAGGTGGTGATGGTGTTACTGGTGGTGATGGTGTTACTGAGGTGATGATGGTGCTACTGAGGTGGTGATGGTGTTACTGAGGTGGTGATGGTAGAGGTGATGATGGTGTTACTGAGGTGGTGATGGTGTTACTGAGGTGGTGATGGTGTTACTGAGGTGGTGATGGTGCTACTGAGGTGGTGATGGTATTGAAGTTACCAGTGTCTTCTTGTTACTGGTTGTTAATGAATTGATCATCATCTTCATCACCACCACCACCACCACCACCACCACCACCACCACCACCACCATCACTTTGAAAGGAATTAAGAATTTTTTTTTTTACACTTTTCAAACTGTATGAAATGAAGGACAATGATACAGTATTACAGTTCACAATAAAAGTAATATTGAGAATAGTACAGTCGAGTTACATCAGAGTACAAGAACCAGGTACAGTTACAGGTACAGTATACAGTATGTAATCCTATTAAGTCCATTTATCTGTAATAGGTATTCATAGTTACATGTTACAGGTAATCCATGTAACAATAGGGATTTTAGGGATTTCATGTAATCCCAAATGTGATCAGGGGCTACTGCTGTGACTCTGTTAACCAAACCAAAGCTGATATTTGGTTTGGTTAGGTTAGGTTAGCTGACGGCTGCATCGGTTACAATGCCTGAATTCTTTTTAGATATGTGAAATCCCTAATTACACAATAATACCATGTAACATAAATACAATATATATATACATAAGGTTACAAGCTTCAAAACAGATTACAGTAAAATATAAATCAGATATTGTGTACCTGGAAATGTTGTTTACAAATATGGGAGACAACTGCTGGTAGGGACTCGGAGCCAACACAGGTAGAGAGGAGGGTAGGTCTTAGGTTCACTTATATACTGAACACACTGACACCAGGTAACACAATGCACCTGATAATCTGACACCAGGTAACACACTGACACCTGATAATCTGACACCAGGTAACACACTGACACCTGATAATCTGACACCAGGTAACACACTTCACCTGATAATCTGACACCAGGTAACACAATGCACCTGATAATCTGACACCAGGTAACACACTGACACCTGATAATCTGACACCAGGTAACACACTGACACCTGATAATCTGACACCACACCAGGTAACACACTGACACCTGATAATCTGACACCAGGTAACACACTGACACCTGATAATCTGACACCAGGTAACACACTGACACCCGATAATCTGACACCAGGCAACACACTGACACCCGATAATCTGACACCAGGTAACACACTGTACCTGGTAATCTGACACCAGGTAACACACTGCACCTGATAATCTGACAACAGGTAACACACTACACCTGCTAATCTGACACCAGGTAACACACTACACCTGATAATCTGACACCAGGTAACACACTGTACCTGATAATCTGACACCAGGTAACACACTACACCTGATAATCTGACACCAGGTAACACACTGTACCTGATAATCTGACACCAGGTAACACACTGTACCTGATAATCTAACACCAGGTGTTACCATCCTCGCTGTGCAGTGTTACCATCCTCGCTGTGCAGTGTTACCATCCTCGCTGTACAGTGTTACCATCCTCGCTGTACAGTGTTACCATCCTCGCTGTACAGTGTTACCATCCTCGCTGTACAGTGTTACCATCCTCGCTGTACAGTGTTACCATCCTCGCTGTGCAGTGTTACCATCCTCGCTGTGCAGTGTTACCATCCTCGCTGTACAGTGTTACCATCCTCGCTGTGCAGTGTTACCATCCTCGCTGTACAGTGTTACCATCCTCGCTGTACAGTGTTACCATCCTCGCTGTGCAGTGTTACCATCCTCGCTGTGCAGTGTTACCATCCTCGCTGTGCAGTGTTACCATCCTCGCTGTACAGTGTTACCATATCCTCGCTGTACCGTATTACCATCCTCGCCACAGTGTTACCATCCTCGTTGCACAGTGTTACCATCCTCGCTGTACAGTGTTACCATCCTCGCTGTACAGTGTTACCATCCTCGCTGTGCAGTGTTACCATCCTCGCTGCACAGTGTTACCATCCTCGCTGTGCAGTGTTACCATCCTCGCTGTACAGTGTTACCATCCTCGCTGTACAGTGTTACCATCCTCGCTGTACAGTGTTACCATCCTCGCTGTACAGTGTTACCATCCTCGCTGTACAGTGTTACCATCCTCGCTGTACAGTGTTACCATCTCTCTTAGTGACAAAGTTCTCTTCAGTGTTGATTCAGTATATAACCTGTCATGACCTCGGGGTTGTCACGTGACTACTGTAAAGGTCAGGGTCAACCAGCACCACATGACCTAAGATGACAGTGTGTGGTGCAGCCTAAGATAACAGTGTGTGGTGCAGCCTAAGATAACAGTGTGTGGTGCAGCCTAAGATAACAGTGTGTGGTGCAGCCTAAGATGACAGTGTGTGGTGCAGCCTAAGATGACAGTGTGTGGTGCAGCCTAAGATAACAGTGTGTGGTGCAGCCTTAGATGACAGTGTGTGTGGTGCAGCTCTAAGACAGACAGGTGTGTGTGGTGCAGCCTTAGATGACAGTGTGTGTGGTGCAGGCCTAGATGACAGTGTGTGGTGCAGCCTAAGATAACAGTGTGTGGCAGCAGCCTTAGATAACAGTGTGTGGTGCAAAGCCTTAGATGACAGTGTGTGGTGCAGCCTAAGATAACAGTGTGTGGTAGCCTTAGATGAGACAGTGTGTGGTGCAGTCTAAGATGACAGTGTGTGGTGCAGCCTTAGATGACAGTGTGTGGTGCAGCCTAAGATAACAGTGTGTGGTGCAGCCTAAGATGACAGTGTGTGGTGCAGCCTAAGATAACAGTGTGTGGTGCAACCTTAGATAACAGTGTTTACGGTTCACACACAGTTAAAGATATCAACATAATAGGTCCAGGGATCTGTCTCTGAGGACACACACACACCACCAGCACTAGTTCCTGCGGCGCCCTATGGAGGAGATGGCCTGAGAGCAGCAGAAGGACAGGGCAGATATGGCTGTGTGTCGCTCTGAGCTCCCTGACTTCTTGATGATGAGGAGGAGACCCAGCAGGTAGAGGGTCAGCACCACGCCCACGTACCAGAGGGCGTGGTGCTGGGCGTCCTGGTGCATCTTGTACACCTGCTGGTGGATGAGGACCTGGTGGGGCGTGGCACTCGCGTTACCCTGGCACTGGCACCACAGCACGTCGAATGGCACTCCCTCCATCTGCATCACAAAACACTTGGGTTAGGACTCTGGCTAGTTACTTCTTTAGTGTACATAAGTCACCACACACACACTATACATTCCCTACACACACACACACACACACACACTCACATTCCATGTGCACACACACACACACACACACACACACTATACATTCCCCTGCACACACACACACACACACACACACTATACATTCCCTGCACACACACACACACACACACACACACACACACACACACACACACACTACATTCCATGCACGCACACACACACACTATACATTCCCTGTACACAGTCGGAGGCAGGAAGCAGTAATCACATACACCAATCATCTCAATTTATTTGTTTACCTCGTGGCTACAAGAGGTAAGACACTCCCTAAACACGTCAAGGTTCAGAGCTCCTGGAAGAAAAATAAAATAAAATGTCCAAGTAACGGAAGTGGGAAGAGTTTGGAGTGAATTAAAAAGATTGTTGAAAATAAGTGTTGATATTATTCTCGCTCTCTCAGTGACATATATTAATACTCATACTAAACCTCCTAATATTAACTAAATGTCTTAAGTCGAACATGCAATTTATCCCCGAACCTCGGAAAGAATCCAGAGGAGAATGACAAGACTAATCCCGGGCATCAGGAACCTTGAGTACAGAGACAGGTTAAAGCATCTTAATTTGCACTCCCTCGAGAGACGTAGAGTGAGGGGCGACATGATATAGGTGTATAAATGGAAGTCAGGGTTAAACAAAGGGGACATTACAAAGGTACTCAAACTATCCAACCAGGAGCGAACTCGTAACAATGGTTTTAAATTAGACAAATTTAGATTTCGGCGTGAAATAGGTAAACACTGGTTTGGAAACAGAGTAGTGGATGAATGGAACAAGTTACCAAATATCATCATTAACTCGAATACGCTGGTTAGCTTCAAACATAGGTTGGATGCTTATATGAGCAATAGGGTTGGGTATAAACGGGACTGCCCAGTATGGGTCAATAGGCCCGCTGCAGTTTCCTCCATTCTTATGTTCGTATGTTCTCAAGTCAATCGGAATTCCTGGTGGGTCGGCGCGCTCATTTTTTCATAACCGCAATTTTTACCGGACACAGAAAATGGAACTCACATTAGGGCAAACATTTATAAACCCAAAACATTATTTAAATTAGTAAATACGCAACGATGATCCAGCAGATATTATCACAAAAACACCAATAATTCATCATATAATACAAAAATATTTGGTTACTGTATTAATAATTGTTAATATTTGTTGGTTTAAAAAAAATATTCAATTTCAAACGTGAATGTATGTAATCATTTGTGTTAATACCTGAATGGGGGAGAGTGGATGTGAATATTTAATGAAGGATCAGGATGCTGGTGAAACTGCATCATTAGCATAGTTTATTTTTTCTAGAAATTTCGCTTTTTCTGTCAGATCGACCGTGAACATAACTGCTGCTGTTTTTTCCATACATTAAAAACCATTTAATTTACAGTAATTTAAATACAAAACAGTTACAGTGGTACAGTGATTTTAAAAATACAAATTCATTAGTACAGGATTACAGGTATACAGTATAATCTCTTATTCAGAAACACTACAGGTACAATAATTATTTTAGTTCAAATACAGAAACTACAGGTTACAGTGATCTTATTCTATCAGATACAATAATACACGTACAGTGATTTCAGTGATACAGACAATAAAACAGATTACAGGACTTCATTACTTCAGAAATTATATCACAGGTACAAAATAAATGATCATGTCAACTTGTACATAGACAACACAAACTCATGTGATCAGCGCCAACATAACCAGTAGTTATATCAGCACCTGGGGATGATCTTTTTAACACGACAGGGGAACGTGCCCCCCCTGCTTTCACCCAACGGCGCTCAACCATGATACGAAGCTGCGACGCGTTGGACGGAATGATTGATTACTCTGTGTGTGTGTGTGTGTGTTAATGTGCTTTTATATGTATACATTTATGAGTTCTAATGTTTGTATGTATGCGTATGTAAGTTCTTATGTGTGTATATTCTATCTGAACTTTCAACTCAAATCTCATTAATTTTGTCAGCTATTGATGGTCTTTACGTTAATCTTACTCACACTGGGTTTGGTCTTCAAAAGGAGTTCCAATTTACTCTTATTTCACCACTTTCGCTTCAATCACTTCTAAGTTAAAATTTCCTCTCTGAATTTGTGTGTAGTAGTGAAGGGGAATTTGCTTGTGTGTGTGTCATGTGTGTGTGTGTGTGTCATGTGTGTGTGTCATGTGTGTGTGTGTGTGTGCAGACATTGTGTTGTTTTTGCTCTTTTGACGAACATAATTGATATACGGACATGTTCTTTAAAGACTTGTTCTCTTCTCACACACACACACACACACACACACACACACACACACACACACACACACACACATTACACACACACACACACACGTATATCAAAACAACCATACAAATTCAACTTTTAATACAACAGCAATACACCTTTAAAAACAACAAAATAAAATAAACATCCTAACTAATATTTGTATTTTAAAACAACACAAACATCTATCCCCATAAACATAATTACTAATACTTATATATTTTTTTACAGCATAAAAACATTTTCTAGGAATTAACTCCCTCCTACATACACCGCCTGCCGCCTCCCTCAACCCCTTACCCGTCTCCGTCACTCTATACCAAGTCTCTGGTTGGCTGGGATCTGTTTACGCTTTGCTAAATTTTGCTTCGTTACGGGAAAAATTGGTCGACTTGGGAAGGTATTTGTTTACCTTATTATAGCGATGACGGGATAGAGAGAGAGGGAGGGAAGGATAAAGAGAGAGAGGAGAGATAGATAAGAAAAAGATGAGATAGAGAGGGAAGAGAAAAAAATTCTTGATAATTTCTCTCTCGATTTTCCTTACGTTCTCTGGTTTTCCTCTATCTTTCGTTGTCCTCCCTCTTTCGTTTCCCCCGCTCTCCCTCTCCAGCTGACGAAAGGAAGTGGAGAAAGTATGCATCAAGGACGAAAGGAAGTGGAGAAAGTATACATGTTAGAGAAAGTATACGAGGAGAAAGTATACATGGTAGATAAAGAGGAGGGGGAGGGGGGACGAAAGACAGCGAACGATAGGTGGACAGACAAACAGGCAATGTTAAAAGACACACCGAAAACTCTCGATAAAACCCAAGTCATTATCCCTTCTGAGACCAACATACGACTAGGATAGAGTTTACACCTCACCCTCCCCCTCCCACCCTCCCCTCTCCTCTCCTCATCTCCAGTACCTCAGTTAGAATCTTCTCTCACTACCAGAACCTCCTTAGGAAAACACTAACGAGTTTTCTAAGTTTTTTTTTATGAGATATGACAAGTAAGGAAATTCAAGGAGAGACATGTTAACTTTTATATTGTTTTCGGAGTTCAGTAAATGGAATAGTTACTTTTGTTTTGGTGTGCGTTATTCTTTTGTTTCTTTGATGTCATTTCTGTTTCTTATTATTTTTTTTTTTTTTCTATATTCTATTTCTGTTCTTGTTTTATTGCGAGTTGGGTATTTTCGGCAGTTAATTTACTATGTGTATTTTTTTACGTAGTGTTTTAAGTTGAGATAATAGAGTTTGGAGTCTCTATATCCGGTTAATAGAGGGTTGAAGCCTCCTCTATATCCAGTTAATGGAGTTGAAGGCTCTATGTCCGGGTAATAAAATGTTTAAAACATCTATGTCCGGGTAATAAAATGTTTAAAGCCTCTATGTCCGGTTAAAGGAGTTAAGCCTCCATGTCCGATTAAGAGTTGAAGCCTCCATTTCCGATTAAAAGAGAGTTAAATAGAATATCACATTATCACTAATACTTAAAGTTGCAATGATAAATGAAACTGACAATATAATACTGATTTAAAATTTGATTACACTGCACAACGAGCTTTTATTTCCGACTAGACAACCTCACATTTCTCATATTTAAGCTCTTCTCCGAGGTCATTTAACTTCAATGTACATTAATCTTGTATTTTTGGACAGTGGACAACAAAAATAAAAGAGGAAATGGAAAAGATATATATAAAAAGAAGGATTTACGTATCAGTGAGGCTGGATGGACTTGTCAATACTAGTGCTGCCACATTAGCTTAGCGTCCCTCCGCCAGTCTTTCCGTCGTGCAGGTCGTCTCTGTCTCTCGTGTCGCGGCTCAGGGGATTCTACAGTTAGTTAGGTGGCGTTTCACATCCCAGGAAGGGAATAGATTACCCAAAGTGTCATTAAGAATTTGAGGTTTCTGGGTAGTGATGAGAAACACGGCGGGAATAAGGAACACGATTGGAATACGCAACACAACATGAACAAGGAACACGACAAGAATAAGGAACACGACATAAATAAGAAACACGACAAAAATAAGCAACACGACAGGAATAAGGAAAACAGGAACAAGCAACACGACAGGAACAAGGAACACGACAGAAATGCAAGCACTGACAATCCCAAAATGGCTTTCGGCTTTTTTCCTCCTCTCCTTTCGTCGCTCGAGGGGGCGAAAGTAAAGCTTTATGTATGCAAATTTGGGACCAGCGATGGAGTTCTTTCCTGGATTAATATTGTGGCGTAGTAATTCTGCCACCGGGATGTGTGAGGTGGTGGAGGGATACTGGTAGTTATAAGAGCAATGTCAACCACAACTACCACAATTATTATAACAACCAATACTACTACTACTACTACTACCACCCCAACCACCTTTGCTACCATATTCAACCTTACTACTACAACTATTAATACTAACCACTATCACCGCTACCACCACAACTAACAAAGCCACCACTACTACCACCGCCATAAGTACCACCACCACAAACCTCCCTCACTCACACCACCACAAAAACACCTTTCAACGCCTTGTTAATTACTGGGACAGACATGTGAGGCACAATCCTTTGACGCCTAATGATCATATATTATTAATTCCAATATTAGCTGACACGAGCGTTGAATCTCGGCTGATGGATGACGTGTGACCTTCCCCTCCCACTCTCTTCTTCATTAGTGTCTCCTGCTGCCATTAGCAAGGCGTACGTGCATATCTCGCTAACTATAGCAGAATTAACGCTAGCATCTCTCCAGTTCACCGCTCAAATGTAGCATAACGACGACCTACTGAAGTGTAAACATTATTATTTTCATGAGTTAATCTTAGTATTTAAAATGAATCGTCTTTTTTCTTTAGTGCATTTATTGAATTGTTGATATGTATCGTATTTATCTGTTTATTTTTATTTATTAACCGATTTATTTATTATATATACTTATTTATTTACGTTATTTTTATCAACACGAATACATATGCTGGTAGGGAGGAGTGACTGTTAAAGAGGATGTAGGGTGAATGTGGCAGGGTGAGGTACTAGGGTGAGAGCCACAAAAAGGCCAAATATTCAGAGAGGAAGAAGAAGGGAGGAGGAGGAGGAAGAAGAGCAGGTGTTGGTGTCAGGTGGTGTGTACCGAGGTCCTTATATTCCCTTATATTACTGATTCAACCAAGACACTCACGTACCCTCCCACGGCTAGAGGCGTGTGTGGTAAGTGGCTGTGTGAGAGACAAAGAGAGAAAGAGGGAGATACAAAGAGAAAGAGATAAAGACACACAGAGATAGATGCAGACACAGATAGACAGAGATATATAGAGATAGAGAGGTAAAATAGAGAGATGGGGAGGGATTTTCGGAACAACATAACAGTGTTGAGAGTGATTGCAAACAGCAAGTGTTGTGTGAAGAAAATTTGTAGCGGTGCAATATGTCAGGACACTGTTGATGGAACTATGCTACATGCAGTCAGGTTCTGTAGTTTTGTAGAAGGGCAACAGAGATAGGGCATTCAATGGGGAGAGAGAGAGATGTAGTTTTGTAGAAAGAGGCGAACCATACAGTATTCAAAGTAGAGAGACAGACAGAAAGACAGACAGACAAGAGAAGGTTTTGAGAATTACAGCACTCCACTAAGATAGGATGTTGCATGCAATATTCATACTATACTAGGACAGATTGTTGCAATATAACACTATACCTAGATAGAATGCTGCTTGCAATATGACACTAAGACAATTTTACTTGCAATATGACACCAGCTGTATAGAATGTTGCATGCAATATTGGCTCTAAACTGTGATATAATGTTGCAAGCAATATTATACCACTCTGAGAGATAATATATGATGCAATATGACCATCCAGTGAAGATAAAATATTATAGGCAAGACTGAAGGCATTAATAGAGATGTCTGTATGCCTTATGCCAGTGTATATAGAATGCCGTATACACTATTGACCTGCCGTGTTGAGTGAATGTCGTGTGTATGAAGGCTATGCAGTCCCAAAAGATAAATAGATAGATAGATAGATAAGACAGATAGATAGATAGCACAGGTATACAAACAATGTAAACAGAGTGCAGGTATACAAACAATATACATAAGAAAAATATTGGTATACAAACAATAAATCGAATCAACCAAGGCCAACGCAACAAAACCACCACACGCTGAAGTCATTTTCGACCCTTCATAGATGCAACACAAACTGAGGTGAGAGAGAGAGAGAGAGAGAGAGAGAGAGAGAGAGAGAGAGAGAGACTGACTTATGGGTTTGTGTTGATTAAGTTCACTTGACAATGCATCATCATCATCATCTTCGGGGGAGGGGGGATAATTGGAGAGGAGGAAGGCTTGTAGGATAGGAGGGAGGGGTGGAGGATGGTGTGGAGGGAGAGAGGGAGGGGTGAAGGATGGGAAGGTGAGGTGAAGGATGGTAGGGGGGGGAGGTGCTGAAGGATGAGGGTAGTGATGTACAAGACGCTGAGTGCCAGGACTAAGGAATACAATGGGGACTAATTCACTCCTCCGCTTCCCCCTACTCTTCTTTTCCTCCTCTTTTCCCCTACCCCTCTTTTCCCTGCACCCCCTCCTCTTTCCCCTACCCCTTCCCTTCCTCCCCTAACCTACCTACCCACCCAATAAGCCATTTTCCCTCCCCAGTTGACCCTCACCCACCCTCCTTTACACACATCCATGAGTGGTCATTCTCCGTCAGGTAAAACACCATTCGCTAAACTAATTAGGGACTAAGAGCACCTTTATGGTCAATTGTTAGCCCAGGAGAGCCTTTGGTTGGTGCCACACAACCTTGTAAACACCACGGGCAGGTATGTGGCACTCAGAGGCACTACTAGAGAGGGGGTGAGGAGTATGTGGCACTCAGAGGCACTACTAGAGAGGGGGTGAGGAGTATGTGGCACTCAGAGGCACTACTTGAGGAAGGGAGAGAAGAGGAGGCGGGTGAGGGAGTAAGGGTGTGATAATACACTCAGGAATAAAGGGAGGGAGAAGGAACAAGAGACAATAATTAAGGAGGAAGGAAGAGAGTGTGAGAGACAAGAGAGGGAATGATCAGAGAGAAAGAATAAGGTTAAATGGACAAAGGGATGAGAGAGAGAGAGAGAGAGAGAGAGAGAGAGAGAGAGAGAGAGAGAGAGCTTATTTGTGTTAAGTAAGAGTTAGGTGTGTGTGTGTCACCTAGATGGGAGGTTACTGTACCATAGAGAATGATATTTATATATCTCTAAAGTCTCCTGTGATACTCTCTCTCTCTCTCTCTCTGTCTATCGCCTCTCTTTTTGTCAGTCTCTCTGTTTATGTCTGTCAGTCTCTCTCTCTCTCTCTCTCTCTCTCTCTCTGTCAGTCTCTTTCTCTCTGTCAGTGTCTTTCTTTCTCTCTCTTGTGTTTCTGTCAGTTTCTCTGAGTCTCTGTCAGTGTCTTATGTGTCTGTCTTTTTCTCTGTCAGTCTATTTCTCTCTGTTGTATCGGTTTGTCAGTCTTTTTCCTCTCTCAGTCTTTCTGTCGTGGAGGTAGTCAGGAGGGGCAGAATGGAGGGGTAAGCTTTAATCACATCGGTTTAGTGATATCGGTTTTAGTACCATAATCGGTTTTAGTTATATCGGGTTTCGTGACATTATCCATTTAGTCCCAGTATCGTTATTAGTGTTATCGGTTGGTCCCAATATCGGTTTTATATCTGGCATCTACTTATTCATGTTCAAGTAAGCTGATGAATACCTCCTTTATCATAAATTATCTAATAACATAAACAAAAAAACAACTTCAAAATACAAAGAAAATCTGTAAATAAATTCTAAAATTCCCAAATTCTTATATACCTACATAACCCGTAAGTAAATACCAGAATTTGTCCAGGTAATTAGATCCTCATATGTTCGTAATTAAATATATATATATATATATATATATATATATAACTGCCTAAATAAACGCATCTGTTTAAATAAAAAATACATTAATTCTTACCTTATATTTGATGTATTACTGATAATTATTCCTTGTGTTTTTGTTGATAATCTTCATTCTGGTATAATTTATGTGGAATTATTGTCTAAGTAAACACTGATAATTTGTAGAAAGTTCAGCCATTTATCCCACGCTATTTCAAAAAGTTCATAAAGTCGTATACATCAGAACCAAATCTCAGACAACTTTTATCATTAGTTCTTGCTGTTATTAAATTTCAGTGTTATGGTTATCTGGATTTTATCATAGTTGGAGAAATGTCTATGTTCACTGGCCATCTTATGTGAGTATGAGGTGATGTTGGTCAATACAGGCGAGACGGGAGAGGGGGTCCACACATCCTACCTCCATGACTTGCTGGGCGTTACTGAACTTTCCTGATGGTGGTGTGTGAGTGGACTGGGCCAAGGTAGGTGGAGTCTGGTGGTGATCGTGATGTCGGAGGCGTGTGGTGATGGTGGTGGTATATTGTGTGGCTGGATAGACTCCTTCATATACTTTGTTTCTTCACTAACTAGTATTATTTTTACACATATATATATCCAACTTCAATATCTATGAGGGATTACAAAATATCTACCGTTATTAACCTTCCTATCCATACACCTACCCCCGGGTGGTCAAAGTTAGGTTCAGAGTCGACCCACATACTGTAGATGGCTCGGTTTGGTCAACTCCCGGGGGGGGGGGGTGTTAAGGTATTTTTTTTTAAAGATAAACCAGAATAATTATTAAAGTTTCAACAAGAGTGATTTAAGCAACAACATTTTATCTAAACATAACGTAAAATACAATAAAAATGACACGGACAGACAGAATATTTTCACTATACACAGAGAAACGCCATAAAAATATTTCAGAAAATACTTTACCATGAAATATTTAGAAAACTGTAAGTTACACAGTTACTCAGCTTCTGGTATGCAATAAACGGTGACAGAATCCCCCCTGCACTGTCAACCTGTCATGGAATCCCCCCACCCTCATGACAGTACTCCGAGCTGCTAAAAATAAAAAAAATAAAAATTCCACCAATTCATGTTTAGGCTATAGACAAAGTGGATGAATTTTACCTTCGCCAAAACTAAGAAATTATCAAACAGTATATTTCACTTTCTTCCTCGTCACTTAAATATCAGATATAACCTTCATCGTTCCTGTTTAGCATCATATTCACTCACTATCGTCACTAATTACATATCATACATCATATTCATACATATTCCTCATCATTGATCATCACTTAACCTCTCATTTTTCATCACTGATTTACATATTATTTCTCATCATCACACTTCCTCATGATCATCAGCAGTGCGTCACACCGTCCCGGAAAGTCACACCCACACAGTCACACCATCACACAGCCTCACACCATCAGGAGGCCAAAATATACCTTTCTTCCAAGTATTTTATTCATACACAATTATACAAACTTCACCACCATACAGGAGAATTACTGCACTTAATTATACAGTATATATATATATATATACCTGTGTGTGTATTTCTGATTAGATATTTTAACCCCTAGTATACTGAATAAAGCCATATAACATTGACCAAATATTAAAAGCCCCGCATATCATGTCCTTTCCTTCCGTGTTACAGAATCATTTAGGGAAGCAAAGTGTTGGAAGCAATATCCTGCGCAGTGCTTCAAGTGACACACAAGAGACCGGGTTAAGAAAAAAAATAAGCATGTTGGTCTCCTTATCCGGCCAGAGTCAGGATGTATTACCGGATATTTACTAAATCGACCCCCGTTTTCTTTCCATCAAGTTGAGGGTTTGGGAAGGTAAGCTTTTTATTTAATAGTTGCGTTTCGTCCTAAATGTAAACACTATTAATTTTCTATAAAGGCTGTTTGTCTCTTGACTCTACCTTAGTTATTTATAAAAAATCTTCAACATAATTACAAGCGCTATTACTATTACGATGATCAAACTAAGTATAATAATAATAATAATAATAATAATAATAATAATAATATTAATAATCATAATAATAATAATAATAATACTGGCAGTCGTGAGCTAAGTAAAAAATGCACTCCTTTGTCAGTAAAATCAAAGATGGCAGAGCAAATATGTCCTGTGTTTACTCTGAGTTATATAAAATGTTCACATCTCTGAATATTAACCGTTATATTATAGAGCTGACAACATTTTCATATATATGCTAAATACTCAACAAAAATTATTCTCAAATTAATAAGCCACTTCAATAATTTAGTGTTTATATGATTTGGATAATATGGTTAGTCATTTGACGTTCTTCTTCAATAATGTTTCTCAGTAATTTACAAGAGAAAATTATACACAGTCTCCACTTTCGCATGAGTGAGTTGACTGAGCTCATTAGGAGAGAAGAAAGGGAGCATATAAGCGCCAGGTATACAAGAGAGATGACGAAAGAAGAGAAAAAATGACAAAGAACGTTAAAATAATTGTAAAAGAATGACTAAAGACGAGACAATGAATGATGGAGGGAAACGTAAAGCAATTAAATAGGATGAAAAAAATAAGAGAACAAAGGGTAATTGGTAAGTGTAAAAATAGGCGATATATTACAGAAAAAAGTTAACTGCGGAATGTGACAGATGAAAGACATATCCAGTTCACAATGTACTGGTTGAAACAATGTCAATGAAAGAAAATAAGAAAACCCTGACTCATTTATAATCATGTATCATTTACCTAAACATAACAAAAAATAAGTTATCCTCATTAAAAACACTACCAATTTCCCCAATAACTAAATTTTCTCTACATAAAAAACGGTATTGTAAAAATTCCTCCACTACACCACAACTTTTAACATCAGACAACAGAATAAAGATTTCCCCGTTTTCTTTTATCACGTATCGAATAGAAAAAGAAATTGTATATTATTTTTAAAATGTCACACGGACTAGATTTCAGCTCTGCGTGTTGGAAAGCGTTTTATGGATATTTTATTTTTAGTTTTATAAAAGGATGGGATATATATGGCTTTTATTTATGCAGTGTAGGTGAATTATGTATCAGTGAATGAGATTATCTGCCGCGGCGTGGAAGCTTTTGGTAATTTATTGATACGAGCAGTGATAATAAATGCATTAATAATAGATATACGGAAGATAATAATAATAATAATAATATGGAAGGTAAAGTAAAGTGGATGGAGGGAATAATGTAGGTTGGAGGAATAATGTGGATGGAGGGCGGAGGTAAAAATATTACATATAGGTGGAAAAATACGATTGGGTGGAAGTGGAAGGAAAATATTGGATGGAGGTGAAGGGAATTACGTAACTGGAGAAAGAGGATGGAGACTTTCCACTCAGTAAATGCCTCCTCCTCCTCACCTGCTCCAGACATGCCATTATTCTTTCCTCGAGAGAAAAAATAAAATCACCATCTTAAACAATTTACTTTATCTTAGAAGTAAAAAAATAACTTATAGGTGGAATAACATTTACCATATCACTAGAATGAAATAAGATGAATTATGACCCTAAAGTATAGTTGTGGCACAGGATATTGAAACTTGAGGATCTTGCGTTCATTTCCTGCCCCTCCGTTCCCTTTCATCATAAACGGGAACCTACCTGTAATTAGTCATCCCCTACTTGGCAATAGGTAACGTGAAGTGGCCTCTATCTATCTACCTGTATCTAACCAATCAACCAGTAAACCAGACTGAATACGCCATACCATAATATTCACTATATCAGGACACGCATTATTGGGACACAGAAACAGCTAGTGGACACGTCATGAAAACCGCCATATCAGGACACGCAATACTGGGACACAGAAACAGCTAGTGGACACGTCATGAAAACCGCCATATCAGGACACGCAATACTGGGACACAGAAACAGTTGGACATGGGTAAGAGTGACTGACACAACAGCACAGGGAACAATAAGTCTGTCCCCAGCCAGGCGAAGGAATATTTGTTTCCGCGCCAAGAAATAAACTCACAACTTGCCAAGATGATATTTCTCCTGTATTTTCACGTTACGATGAAGTGAAATGTTTCTTTTTTATATTTCCACGCAATGACGAGATATATTTTTTTTCGAATTCCACGTAATGAGGGAAGTATTTCTCTTATATTTCCACTCTAGGATATAGGTAAATATTTCTTCTATTTCCACGCTAGGATGAAGGTAATTTCTTTTATATTTGTAACTTCGTGTAAATATTTATTTCATTTCCGTGTTTGTGGAATAGGAATTTCTCTTAATCGAGGTTAGTGTGGAGACATTTTCTAAATAAACTTATTATAAATATTTAATTCTCACAGTATTTGAATGGTATGCAATATTCTTCCCAAATCACCATAGAATTAATGTGCATTTTTTCCACGTCAAAGGAATTAAAGGAATTAACTGGTCCCTCTTTCACGGAGTCATATTACTGGATGCACTCACTCACTCACTCTCCCTCTCTCTCATTCAAATGTCTTTTATTACAACACCAAGGAAGTAAATTAAAGTACAAGCTATAGTATAAGGCTGTAGTTTATTTCATAGCTTGTATGTTTAACTTTGCAGTATTTATATAGCTGAATTTCCCGGTTCAAAGTAGTTGGCTTTAACCTTCTATATTTCCTTATTGTTCAACAGTTTATGTTACAGGTTAATAGATGGAATAAAACGTACAGTAAACAACAGGGTAAATTTGTCAACGGTTAACTGACAACGCTTCAAGACATCGATGACGTCAGATTTTGGTAAGATCCCCAGTGATTTGTGTCCGATTGGTTAGAGTCGTTAATTCAGAATAAGAAAAATCACAAATAAAAGTCTAAAAATTCCACTTTTACATTTTTAAAATTACAAACAGATACTCGAATGAATATCTAAATGTATTTCTAACCAATATTTGGCGTTAAAAAGAAAGAGATATACGAGATAAAACAATTAAAGTCGTTTCCTGATAATGAGACAACGTTAAATTCAAATTTTGACTTTGGTTCAGGTTTCCAGTGTACCGGTAAACGGGTAACTGTCAGTATAGCTTTAGCTGTGGTAAGGTGTGGGCGTGTTTATTTCGAAGGGACTAAAATGGATAAGCATTAACTAATTACGTGTTGGTACTGAAATAAATCTACTTCGAATACTACCTTAAAGTTTTAGAAGTGTTGGTAGATAGAAAATTTAAGTCACTAGTTAAACCGACTCATATTTTCAAGTGTCATCGAGTGAATTAAGTTGCCATAAATTGATAGGTCTAGAAAGAAGTCTTATAATGAAGTGTCGTAAAGTGTTATGAATGTAATTAAGTGCCACGAGGTCATAGTATACTTAAAAGTTAAATATAACAAAATACAGTGTTGTAAGTTACCATGAAGTGTATTAAGTGGTATAACTATAAAGTGT